ACTCCTAGTACTTCTCTTCTGGATCTTATAGTTGGTTTCTATTGTCTTAGACTAGGCTAGGATGTTTATATTATCTACGAACCCTAATGCTAATATGTTTTTTAATTCTAGGAGTAGGAGTAGGTCTACTATAAAGATAAGGAAGAGGATTAGGGAGAGTATTGATCCTTAGGGGATTCCCTTTCTAGTTAGTATTAGATCTAATTTGAATTTACCTAGAATAAGCTATATTAATCTTTCCTATAGGAAGGACTAGATAAATTAGACTATCTAGTTTAGTATAGCTTTCTGTTTAAGTATATATAGGAGTCTTTTATAGGAGACGTTGTTAAAGGCTCCTAAGATGTTAAGGGAGAGGAGGGTTGCTACCTAGTTTTAACTATAGTGCTAGATATACTTAATCTGTTCTGTAATTAGTTCTATAGCTATTAGTATTAACCTCTTCTTTCTTCCTCCTATCTAGCCTTTAGGAAGGATATTCCTTTCCTCGGCAAAGGTTGTTAGCCTTTTAGCGACAATTTTTTCTAGTACCTTGCCTATTATATTAAGTAGGGCTATTAGTCTATAGGCCTTGAGCTATATATAGTCTTCCTTCTAGGGCTTCCTTAGCACTACTGTTAGGGACTTCCTAAATAGTCTTAGGTAGTGTCCTAGTACTAGGCTTTATAAAAAGATATTAGCTAGTGCTAGGGCTAGCCCCTTCCTATATGCTTTTAGAAGTTTGTTGTAGATCTTGTCTTCTCCTAGTACCTTATTGCCTAGAATTTTCTTTAGGATCCTTTTAATAGTTTCGGGTTTAACCTAGGTATCTCTTAGTATACCTAGTAGTAGAGTCTCTTGTTCTTTCTCCTTTATATCTAATAGGTCTACTTATACTTTTCTATAGAAGAAGTATTAGCCTAGGGCTCTTACTTTCCCTTCTATTGTAGTCTGTATTTGTCCTTATTAGTCTATAATGTCCGGGAATTATAGTAGTATATCCTTATCCTATTTAGGTCTCTTTGCCTATTTAGCTATCCTCTATATCTCCTCTAGTTTCTTTATAATTATTCCTATTATAGATCTCTATTCTTATATCTTATCTTTCTTAATCTAGATCTTCTTTTCCTAGTAGGCTTTATTATAGTTGTCCTATGCTTCCTAGGTATAGGTTTATATCTACTACCTCTTAGCCTTCCTTACTGCTTTAACCTTCCTTATACACTTACTAGTCTAGTATAGTTGCTAGTATAGTAAATGTTTCTTTGCTAGGGTATGCTTTCTAGCTACCTATTTTAGGATTCCTATTAGTTCTTCTACTACCTTATTAATGTCTTCTAGCCTTAGTAGGTGCTTTATTAAGAGTTCCTCTAGTTTTAGGTCCCTTTCTAGTTCCTCCCTAATCCTGCCCTATTAGGTACCTTTCTAGTTAAGCTTATCCTCTAGTTCCCTTTCCTAATTAGCTTAGACATTTAGCTTAATCTATACCGGGAAGTAGTCTAATAATTCTTCTAGTTCCTAGTTAACCCTATATCTTATAATCCTGTTCCTAATTTAATGTAATATAAAGTATAGGTTTAGTGTGCTACTGCTTCCTCTTGCCTCCTAAGTAATTAGTCCCTTTAGGGTAACAATTTCCATTCCTTCCCTCTCTAATATATTAATTAGTCTTCCTACTAGGAAGTGGTAAGCTAGGGTAAAGTCTAAGCCCTAGAGGGGGTAGTAGAGGTTGAAATCCCTAAGTAGGATTTAGTAGGTGTTCCCCTAGATAACTCTAGGTAGTCTTTCTAGGGTTTTTAGTTAGGTACTGCTTCTTGAGTCTAGTAGTAGGTTGTATATATAGTGGACTTAGAGTGTACCTTAGGATGTCTCTACTTAAACTAATGTTAGGTCCCTATCCTCCTATAGTATAGCCTACTAGGTTTCTATATCTATCTCCTTACTAATATAGATATATATCCTTAGGGCTCCCTAGTTGTAGATAATTAGGTAGTATCTTAGGTCTTTAACTGTTGCTAGTCTCTTTATATATAGGTTAAGCTAGGGCTCTTAGATTGCAATAATGTAATATTCTTTTAGGTTTAGTGCTTAAAGGAAGCTCCTCTGTACCTTGTCTTTACTCTTATTAACATTGTACTATATAATGTTTAGTAATGTTGCAATGTTTATTAGGTTTTATCTATATTATTTCCCTATAAGTTTTCCTTTAGTCTTCCCTTACTTTAGACTAATATTTGACTAAGCTTTGTCTGCCCTGCTTCCTTTCCTACAATATTAAGGTATCTTAGTCTCCCTAGTTGCTAGTAACTCTCTTATGCTAGTAAGGCCCTAAATATAAACCTATTATCTTGTCTAGACCTCTTTTATAGTACTTAGCTAGGTTGCTTCTATACCTAGCTGCCCTAGCTTGTTGTATATCTTTTTAGTATATTGATTCTAGCTTCCTTTGCCTTCCTAGCTGCCTATATTCTTACTAGGTATTCCTTCGCCTAAGAGGGGTGTCTTTTAGTGTAGTATATATATCTTGCTTCTCCCTTATATGCTTTGCATTCTTTAACCTAGTAATCCCCTATATAATAGGAGCAGGTATTAGTTGTCTTTATATATTTAGCTGCTAAGTGTCTATAGTATTGACATTTGAAGCACTATATTATCCTATAGTTGCTTCTATATATCTCTGTTTCTAATCTTTTAAAGTCCTAGAACAACCCCTAGTCTAGCACTATATTAGCTTACTCTATACTCCCTACCTAGACGATTAGGGAAGACTACTTCTTAGTCTCTTCGATTTTCCTTTTAATCTATACTACTTTTGTAATCTTTAGGCCTAGGTATATAGCTTAGTTTTGTCTCTATAGGCTCTTAATATCCTATTCTTCCTTAAAGCTTCTTATTATGCTATAGGCTATAATTATAAATTGCTATTAGGAGACCTTTACTGTTTTCCCTATCTTAGTTGTCTATTCTTTTTGTATTTCTAGCTTCTTTTTGTCCTACTCTTGTACTATAAACAGCTTGATTACCCCTTTACCTTCGTTCCTAGCCCTAATTACCTCTTTAACTATAATTCTTTCTACAATCTCTTTCCCTATAAGTCCTTAGATTTCCTTTTGCTCCTATAGGTCCGTAATATAGACTCTAACTACTGTCCTCGGGGGTTTTAGCGCCTCCTAACTAGCTACTACTACCTAGGTGCGGTAGTTTAGGCTTATCTCCTATTGTTTCTTCGTAATCTTTGCTACGACTGTATTAGCTACCTTTATAATTACGTAGCTTGCCTAGTTATAGATTGCTTTTAGTCCTCTAAGGAGTTCTAAGATTATTATCCTATATGCCCTCTTAGGGGTTCTTCTATCTTCCGCCTTTAGCACCTCCTCTGCCCTAGTATATAGTGCTTTCTATTCGTCCTCCCTTCCTTCTTAACTATCTTCCCTTCGTCTCTAATTGTTCGCTACTATTTTCCTAGGTATTATATAACTATCTATATATATAGTATTAATAGAAATAAACAATTTATATAAAAAAAATCTTTAAAGATTTTATTTAAATATAGTACTAAATCGACAAATTTAAAAAAAAATCGAATATACTAATATAATTTAGAAACCTCTAGCTAAATATCTAAAGTACTCTAAGTAGACAATAATAACATCTATTAAAAGTCTTTAGTATAATTGTTTAAAAAAAACCCCCCTAATACCTACTACTAGGATTCGTACTAAGAGCTAAACACTTCTTAATTTATTCTTAACTAGCTACTAATCGATTACGCGCTACTAGTAATAGCTTATCCTATCCCCCTAATAGAGTAAGTAGTATTAGGATACGAACCTAGAATTTCTTCTCCCTGCCTACGTAGCATAACATTGTTCCGAATACTAGCCCGCCCGACCTTATCTATTATTAACAACTTAGGGGCTTTTTAAGTCTTCACCGGCCACCTGGTATTGAAAAATCCCACTACGCTGCTGGAAATGAGAAGTGTGGTTGGTTAAATTTCCTGAACAATCGACTGCTGGGTCGAGACTCGACTGGGGACAAGGGACTGGACTGTTTGGCTGTGCGTGGCATGATCTGCAATCTGTAGAACTATCTCCCAGGTAGGTGGGCTATTTATATAATGAGATGCGGAAGTCTCTTGTTAGCATGCACGTAAAGGTGATTTCGTCGTTGTGGATAATTTGGTATGATGAGGTAGAACTACATGGTAACTGATATAATACACATGAAGTAGATATAGATAGAAAATTCAACATCCATCGGCCGTAACCATCCATAATCCCATCCCGTCCCATCCCATCGCATCTCAAAATCCCCAAAAACAAAAAACCCACCCACCTTTCTTTCTTTCTTTCCATCTTCATCATCATCATCATTCACAAAATCATAGTCCACTTCCGATTCGACCTCGTCCTCCCACACTCATCCGCCTTAAACTTAAACAGCCCCTCCGCATTCGTCTGCAAAATCCTCTTCAAATCCGCAGGCGCAACAAGATCAGCCAAACGATTCGCAAACTCGGGCACCCTCTCCGCCTCGACCAAAGGATAAGCATTAGAAAACAACAATTTCTCCACCCCCCAAGTCTGAATCGTAAGCAACGTCACCGGCAGCGAAAAACAGCCCGAAATGGAAATCCAGACTTGTGATCGTAACATGTGTGAAACCGGGCGTTCCAGCCCGAATAATGTGGGATTGAACATGATATCGAAACGTTGGAGCATCATGGGAAGCATTTCGCCTTGGTGGCCGATGATGAGTTTGAGTTTTGGGTGGCGGTCGAGAGTTCCTGAGATTGCGAGGCGCAGGACATGGATTGAGACTTCGTTGTGCCACCCGAAACCGGGGCCGGCGAGCATGGCGGACAAAGTGTCGGGCTTGTTTGGGAAGGAGTAATAAGCGTCTGAGACGGTTTTGGGCGGTGTGCCGGGGTGGAGGAAGAGAGGGACGTCGAGCTCTTCGAAAGTGGAAAGGATTTCGTCGAAGATGGGGTCGTCGAGGAATTTTCCGCCTACGGTGCCGTGCAGCATGACGCCTACGAAGCCTAGGCGGAGGACGCATCTTCGCAGTTCTCTGACTGCCAGCTCGGGGCTTTGGAAGGGTAGTTCAGCGAGAGCTGCGAAACGTTTGGGGTTTTCGTCGACGGCCCATTTCAGTTCGTCGTTGAGTTGTCTTGTCAGAGCTGTCCCTGCACCGGCGTCCATGGACAGGGGATTGACCAGAGCTGATCGAGAGACGATTTGGAAAGCTATGCCATTGTCATCCATGTCCTTTATCCGCTGATCGGAGACATCTGCAAGGCGGGACTTTGTGTATGGAAAGAGTGATTCGATGTGGGATTGCTGTTCCTTGGCTTCTTTGATTGATGCATCGCTGGCAGGGAATCTGGTCTGGAGATGCGGGATGGCGATATGCTCTTGCACGCCAATGATCTTGACATCGCTCAACGCTGCCGATCGATAGAACGGCATTGGCGATGGTGATGAAGCTGCTGGTCGTGCCGTATGTGGATGGGTTGGTAGTCGTGCGCGAAGCTGGGTCCCCTTCATGGGTCCAGGAATTTTTGGTAGAGGCTTGTCAGGAGGTGGTGTCGGATTTTGAGTATCGAGAAGGCTTTGTGTATTCAGCATGTCTTTCGAATCGATGCGAGTCACTGCAGGACGAGCGGGGAGTGGTATGTGTTCAGCGTCTCGATCCTTCTCTCGGCTCTCGCGACTGCCATTACTGCTGTGACTCTCGCGACTGGTGCGAGGTCGATCCACAGTCTTGCTCGGTATCTCGATGAGTGCTGGAGTTAACATCTGGGTAGTTGTGTCAACTGTGACAATCTTGTCATGTAGACTGCTGTGCGCACTAGAAGTGCTGCTGAGAGCGGACGAAGGCAATGGGCTGTGTGGTCTTGCAGGATTGATGTCTGCAACCAATTTGTCGAAAATGCTGCCTGGGGGCATGGAAGTTGTGTTGGCTTTCTGAGCCTTTTTTGTCGATGCATTGGACTCTCGTCGACCTTCCGGTCCATGCCCGTTCGGCTGTGCGTTGGATCCTCTACGGTATTCAGTAGAAGTCGGGAAGAGCGAGAATCTGGCTTGGGATTCCCCAGGAGGCGTCTTGGTCTCTGGCTTTGTTTTAGGACTGACATTCACAGCATTAATCGCGGGCGCGTTAGGTGGTGGGCTCGTTGGCATTTCTGGTATGGCTGTGACGTCGTCGTTTCCTGGCAGCAAGATAGGTGGTAGACAAGGCGGTGATCGATCGGGTCTGTCCGGTCGTTGAAGGTCTAGTCCACCTCTGGCGCCGACGAGTGGTGCCGATGTTACATTCCTGCCCAGCTTTGCTTTCTGCTCCATCTTCTCATACCATGATGTTGCTGCTGGTGTGGGGGTATTAGGAGCAGAATGCATCTCGCTTGGCTTCTCGGGTTGTTCAGGACGCATTGGCCTCTGCTCCATTCTGTCTATAGCAGTGATCGGCGGCAGGGGAGTTGGAGGCGTTTCTAATCTCGGATTCAGGTCCATCTTGTCCAAAGGTGGAGGTAGCCAAGTGAGCATCGGCATGGTGTCGTCTTTCTTGCCTCGTCCAAATCACTGGGTGGCATTCATGAGGGTGCAGGTAGGTGGGAGCACTCACCATTATGCGTTTGCCTCCTCGAATGATTGGATTGTTGTCCCTTTGTAGTTGGCAAATTTCGTCCCCAATTTAAAGGTTTCGGGTGGCTTAGGGGTGCGGCAAGCTAGTATACAGACCTTCCGCTTCTTGGCTATTAGATAGACCCCTTTATATACTATTCTAGTACGTGAATCTATGCTCTTTTATATAAATGATATCGTTGTATACTGCTTTCTATCGAGTGTCGAATAAGTCGTTACCTAATAAAGGGCTCGAGTCGGAGGAAGAGGAAGGGGCCGAATTCGAGGCATATAACCCTCGGGTACCGGCGGAGGAGACCGATTCGTACGAGGATAAAATTAGAGAGGAAAAGGTCGAGTTTACTATAGTAGAAGGGCTAGATCTACCTCGGTCGTAGAACTTTAATCCTCTATAGGTACTACCGAGTATAGAACGTTAGTTTTATATCCCCGACGTTAATAGGGACTGCTTATACGATATAGAACTGCCTTCTAATTATAGCTACGCTTCTACTAACAAATCTATATACGAAGACTATACCGCTAGTCGAACCGAGTTTAGTAAGGCCTAGAACCTCCTATAGAGGGTCTAGGAGCTGTTTTAGACCGCGGAGGTAAAGGAAATAGTTACTAGCTTTACTAATTAGTATATCGACTAGCAAAGAGATAACAGCCTTACTAAGAAGGTAAAACGATAGGCGGCTAATTGTAAGGCTATTAAGATAGCGGAAATCGATATCTAGCTTAGATTAGCATATTACATCGGCGTAGTTAGTTAGAATACGCCTAGTAACTGCTAGGCGGACGATATAATAATGCCGTACTACCGTGCTATGCGGTTTATAAAGAAGCGTCGCTTCTTATAGGTAAAGAAGTTTATTAAGCTATCGAATGTAGTAAAGGACTAGGTACTAGCGACGAAGTATTAGTATATAAAACTAGAGCCGATTAGCAGTCGTATTAAGGCCGCCTTTAAGAGATACTGCTTACCTCGAAGCTAGGTATCGATTAACGAGATTATTATCCGCTTTACTAGCCGTAGTAGACACGTTAAGGTTATTAGAAACAAGCCTTGTCCGGAGGGCTACGAGCTTCTCGCTCTTTGCGATACTAGCTATATATACGATTATATATTCAACTCGCTTATTTCTAGCTTCGAGAATAACCGTCCGCTAAATAACGAGGAGGTAGCGCGAGTGCTAGAAGGTTGTTAGAATAAGGAAGAAGTTGCTATTACGAAGGGCTATATTAAACGGCTCTCGGCAACGATACGTACTATACTCCGCCTAGCCCTTAGCTTGCTAGCAGGTAGGCAACACTGTATCTATATAGACAATAGGTTTACTAACGTACTATTATTATCGTATATGCGCTTTGCTAGGGTTGCTAGATATAGTACCTATAAGTCTAGTAGTATAGATTATCTATAGGTATTAAGGGCGGCAATAGTTAGTAGTAGGAAGAAGACTCGCCTCCTACTAGGCACTTTAGCGGGTGCAGTAACGGCCTTAGGCAACGGTGCCGTTCTATCTCTTCTATAGCAAGACTCTAACCTAGTTTGCCTAGAAACGATAGTATATATAGGCTACGAGATAGACGAAATAAAGCGCCGAGCGCTAGTTATTAGGGGAAACACTAACAAATAGAAAAAGGACTTTGTATTAGCTATCTACGATCCCGTACTATAGGCACCCGATAGGAAGAGGGTTATTAGCTAGCCTCGAGTCGCTATCGATTACAACCTCTATATAGGCGGTATAGATATTTGCGACTAATTGCGCTCCTACTATCCGACTTAGCTTATTAGTTATCGTAACTAGATGCCGCTATTCTTCTAGCTATTAGATGCGATGTATATTAACGCCTATCTCCTTACTAAGTATAAATACGGTAACCCTCGCTAGTACGACTAGACAACTAAGTCCTCGTGCTATAATACGTACAGACTCTTCCGCTATCGACTAGCTTAGAACCTTATCCTTTCCGGCGTACGAGAACTTTACGGACCGTACGAGACTAATATTAGGATAATAGAAGAGATAGCTGCAAAGATTAATATACTACGGCGGCGGCGGGTACGAGATAAGGATAGCAAGCGCGGCAAATACATTAAATAAGGCAAGACTAAGTTGCCTATTTAGCTCTACTTCTTAGAAGAATATAAGCCTATTAAGGTAGAGCTAAAGCACTATTAATTCTATGTATTTAAAGAGCGGTATTAGCAATAGCAAGTAGATAAGTATAAGACAAGGTAGCGCTATAACGACTATAGCTAGTACCTCTATATTAAGTACTATAACGACTTCTATAACCTTATACCTAGCTACTACGACTAGACCTTACCTCGCTATAGTCGATCCGCTGTACTTTCGAAGGCCGCTTAACTACGGCAGCCGGTAGACGACGACGCGCCTACTAAGCCTAATATTAACTAAACTCGTCGAGTCGCCGCTCTAATAAATACACCTTACTAATAAGCCGACAGATTAACTACTCGAGCCTTAGATAGCGGTCTTTAATAGAAGGAAGGTCGTCTGTTTCTAGGTCTAGGTTTGCGGGTATAACCGGCTTACTAAGCCGCCTTAATATCGTTCTAGTATCCTCTTCTTTAGGCTCCTTTGCTAATAATTTTAGTATAGTTAGCAGCGTACTAGAGAGGGTCGAAATCTAACTTAGGTACGGCGATAAGACAGGCTTATTATCCGAATATTAGCTCTATAGCAATAGTATTAGAATTAGCCTTCTATACGGCTTAAACTACTTACTTCCGCTACCTCTAACTGCTCTATTATAGCTTATATTTACTACTAGGTCTATTACATACTAATAGTATAAGATTGCTAATGTTTAGAAGACCCTAGTATATGCTAGGCTAGAAGGGGTTTAGTTATTCACTTAACGGAAGGTCCGGAAGACTAATATTAGCCTTCGGTAGCTAGCTAGGGTTGAAAATACACTTTAGACAACAAAGGGGTAGTCCCTTCTTAGCATTGGTTAGCTCGCGTTTGCTAGCAAGAACTATGCGGTATATCTGATTATCCAACCGACCGAACAGGCGTGCATTCCGTCCGTGAGCCACGGGACAAGGTATACTGTATGAGTTGTCTGGAAAGGGTCTCTGCATCTAAAGCATAGGGTTCTGTGAACTCAAACTCAGTTACGGTGCGGACCAAAGTTTTGTACATGGTATGTTTACATGGGTACCGAGCCAAGCTATCCGGCACTGCCTGCCTTCCGCTCCATGTTTGCAGATCAATTCTCACGTCGGGACGCCTCGCTTACATGCAACACGAATAAATTAGCCAAATACTTCCATGAGAAAGTCGTATCGGATTCGAAGTCCCATATCACGAGCTTTGGCTGTCAATTCGTGGCATCGATCAGCAAGGATCTCGCCAACGACAGGAGTTCCGCAATACTTTGGTTGGAATGTTAGCTTTTCAGGAACAGAATACGCACGAGCTGCAGCAGGGATTTGCGGAGCCGGGTGTGAACTTACAAAGACGCCAACCTTTTTCTCCCTAATCCCATCATCCACCAGATCCTGGAAGTGCTTCTCCAGTATGTGGTCGAAATCTGGTCTCCCGAAATGACTGCGTTGCTTAAGACCTGTAAGCGCGGAGTATGGTGCGGCGGAAGTACGGTATCCGTCCAAAATGTAACGGAAAACATGGGTTGATATATTTTTCCGCTTTGCCGTGATGTGCGTGTTGATGTTGAGATCCAATTTGTTCTCTTTAGCAAGCGGGCCTGCTCCGGTGATTGCTCGATTCAGTAAGTCGGAGAACCAGAGCAAGTCGTTCTTCTCACGAACAGACCAATGGAAATCCACCCGACGATCTGGATTGGTACAACGTGGTTCGGGAAAGTGCGGACCGGCGTGATTGAGATCTTTTTCTTTGGTGAGCTCGCTTGATGAAGCAGTCGTCGCTTGCGTAGGACGACGCGAGCTCGCTCGTGAGCCTCTCCCAGAGAAGTGCGGCGACCGGGACCGCTTTCGTTCCTCCCAGGGATCTTTTTCTTCGTTGAAACTTTCTTCCAAGTCTGTCAAGATGGCCGAGAACGGGGTTATACCGATGCCGCCTCCGACGATGATAGAATAGTCGTAGTCGTAGGAGCGCTGAGCGGGTGCACCGAACGGACCGTCTAGGCCAACTTTGATGCTGCCTTGCTTGAGAACCAGATCGCGCAGCTTCTCGGTCCAGTCACCCTCCACTTTGATATGAAGAGACAATTCATCGCCACGACAGGACGAAATCGTGAATGGATGCCACTGAAAAAAAGAGATCTCCGGGACCTGCAATAAAAGATACTGACCCGCCGAATACTTCCACCACTTTCCGCTCGGGCGCTTGCAGGTGATGACAACAGCATCTTCGTGCATCACCTTTGCCTCGGCTGCAATCTTGACGAATCCCCTGCCAAGTCTTTCTAGCCGCTCGAAAAGTACGAGACAGAATGGGATGGCAATCCAGAAAGCAAACATTGGATACTGCACAAGTCTCTTCGTTCCGTGGGCACAGAGTAGACTGATCATGGGAAACATCAGGAGATGGCCAAGTTGAAAGACCTCGTAGCTCCACTTGCGCACGGCTGGCATGCTCAGTGAGGTGAGCGTCCAGTACAAGCCCAATGCAACGATGCCTGACCATCCTGGAAGTGTGCGCACAAAAGCGATATAGGGCATCGGTGTTGGCACAGCAAGATAGGCAGCCAATGCCTCTTGGCGCGAAGGTTGAGATCCAATGAGAAATGAGCCAGTCAGGTGGCCGATGGCGTGTAAGGTGGCAAACAGAAGACCAAAACAGCTCATAATGATGTGGAACTTTTGGCAATAGTCCCAATTGACGAAGCGACTCAGGTAATAGCTCCGCCGGAGGAAGGTGGAAAGGTGTCTACTCATGCTCAGAAGCATGAAGACGAATGTCGGATAAATGGCTCCAGCATTGAGCTTGGCCATGATTACCCCCCCAACCCAGTGCTGCTCGGGCATCCTGATTGACGATGTAGATACCGCCCTGCCAGAGCATGATGGCCAGGACCAGCGCAACGACCATTGCTATGAAAATGATATTTGGCCCGTGGACAGCCCAGTATGCGCGTATGCGTCTCCGTCGCGGCAATTTCCTCCCCTGCTCCTTGTCTTCCTGATGGGTCTCTTTGGAGTCGGACTGGCTTTGCGAAGGAACCTCCCAAGTCTGCACGTGGCGAACAAAATCCTCTCGACTCAACTGTGAGCCGCATTCGGGCATGATTGCGCAGAGGAATTGGTGCAAGCCGTCTCCAGGGTGGCCGGCGTGCTGCTTCTCGACATCTCGACGCGCTGGATGGAGCAGATGGTGTTTCTGCAGCTGCGGCGCCAGTTCTTGATGGACTTGGTGTAGTTTTGCTTCGAGCTCTTCAAACGTGACGAAGCCATCCTTGTCGCGATCGAGGTCATCGAAGAAGGCATTGATCTCTTCATCGGTCAGCTGGTTAAAATTGGCCGTCAAGACCGGCCGCAGCCGCGAAATGGTGGGCTCAAGGTCGTCCATAGTGAGTGAAGAGGGCCTGCCGCTACCCACCCCCGGGACGTGGCATCGTCACGATCATATATGCTGCGGCTGGAAAACATCAGAAGGTTGAGATGGCGCATTGTGGCAGCGGGACGGTGCAGATGGAGCAGTCTTGGTGGTTGGCATCGACGTGCAAAACGCGACAGCGACAGACGTGGCGCATCGCTGATGACATCGGCCAAGTGCCAAGTTTCTTAGTCATATGACTTCCGACCATATCGCGTCTTCACTTATCTTGCCAAGTTCTTGGAGTCATCATTCTGCCATGAGAACCACGTCTGAGGCCCAATTATCATACATGCGAAGACTGCGAGACGTGTCGATACTTGGGTCGACAACGACCGTCGTTTCTCCATGCAGAGATATCTTCCCGACTGTCTACCTTAGACCGGTCTGTAAATCTACGGCTGCTGTATCCACCTATACCAGCCATGATCGAGATCAGACTCACAGCCCAAGTCAGAAAGGCGAATGCAAGCGTCGCAGCAAAAGGCATTGACCCGGTAATGTCCATTGATTCAAGTTTAAGTGAGTGGAGATTAGTGTGATTGCATTGTAACATGAATGTGTGCAAGTCCTCGCCTCGGCAGCGGAAGAGGTCGAAATCGAGGCACTCTAGATGCGGAAGAACGACTCGATCTGCAATGCTTCCAAGTCGAGAGTCTTGTGGTTGAGCTGTCGGCAGGCAAGACGAAGACTGAACAATGTGTGCACAGTTAAGCGGCGAAGGAGAGGATCGGGATGGAGGATGTTGCCGCAGATCTGCTCGATGGGCTCGACTGGAAGATCTTCAAGGCCGCCTGATGTGTTGTGTCGTTTGCTCTTGCCTTCGCTTGTTCTGTGGCCTTTCTTCTTGCGGCGATGGTTTCGCTTCTGCGGGGGTGCAATGCCCGGCATTTCGACGGCTGTAAGTCGATGTGCTTGATCAAGCTCGTTGTCGCATGCGTCGATGGAATGTGGGTGTGAGGAAGCCGAATGCGCTCAGTACGAGTGCAGAACAACTACATACGTGAGAGGGGTTCGTCGCAATGAGATTCGAAAGGGTAGGCATTTAGCTGCTCAATTACCAACATATTACTTGGAGGCGTTGGAGGCGTTTGGAACAATCCGCTGCGGTCATGTTGTACGACGAAAGGTGTGTGTGGTCTGACGCGCGTGAAAGAGACGCGTTGGACATGCTCTCGGCAGCGATCGCGTTAGGGTCAAAGGAAGTGGTAACGCAGGTGGCGCGGACGATCGTTGCAATGTACCAGGCCGAGCACGCGCAATCACAAGCTACTACTGTACATATGATAAGCCGCCCGACTTTGTGCAGCAAGGACAGATTACTCACCCTATTCGACACCTTTCATTTTGATTGTGGCATGCACTGCTGCAAGGTCCAGTCTCGGGTGACTCGTGAAGCCTATTTCGACGTCCTCCCAACACCTATACTCGTTGGTATGAGGTGCACTCCAATCTCAGGAATGGGCGATGTGGCTGGCAGGACGTAGGCGGAGTGCACCCAAAGGCAGCGAGCACAGCAATTGCAAGTGTAGGTGCTCCATTGGTAACATACCGGCGGAAGCCATCCTCATAACGCAAGCGGCATTCGAAGCGGGACAAGGGCGGTGTTTCGACCAAGGAAGAAGTGCATTGAGTAAGCACATCCCTCCTCACAGGAAACCAGATTTCGCCAGATCGTCGTAGACCTTCTTCGGCATGACATTACCCTCAGTGTCCTCCATCTCGACAACACCCTCTCCATCGTCACCACCTTTGCGATCGAGCTCAGCCTTACGGTCGCGCTCGAGCTTCTCCCACAGTTTCGTCGCTTCCTCAATCTTGGTGATCTCGCGGAAGAGGCCAGTGTTCTTCTCAATGCCCAGACACTGCAGGCCATAGATATGGCGTGCCTCTGAGAAATGCTTGTCGAATGCGCGTCGTCCCATGTAAACGTAGTTGCCGCAAATTTCGCAGGGAAATTCCACACCAAGACCATGAAGCTTGTAGAGCCAGAACGGAATGGGCTTGCCATCCCATGCAAGAGGCAGCTTGAGCGGATTGTAGATCTTTTCACCACCCTCGCCCTCCTCGTCCTCTTCTTGGCCAGCAGTGCCAGCAACTTCAGCATCCTCCCTGTACAAAGCCTCCAGCTCTTGCTGACGCTCCTTGTCCGTCATGCCTGCTTTCCGCTCCACGTTCACGCGTGTGTCTTCCCGCTCAGTCTTCATCGTTCCAGCCAGCTTACGGATGCGATGTTCTCGCTCGGCAACAGCGCGTTCTTTGACTCGTGCCGTCGGGTTGGACTTCGCAGAGCCATTGCTCATTTCCACGTCACCGTCCTCGGCCTTGTTTTGCCGCGCCTCAGCATTCTTCTTGTGCTTCTTACCCGTCAAGTGGGCCTGATAGACGTTGTTGTTGTTGAACTCTTTTTGGCAATCGGCACACCATACACCCTCGCCTGTGCCTTCGGTGGTTGGCCCATTCGATCCCGAGCCGTTCATCTGCGATTTGCTTGCTTCCCAGCCTGGCACCTTATCTTCCTCCCACTCTTTCTCAAACTCTTGATCGAAGTCCTTGAAAAGCTTCTCGAGATCCTCTAGTGGCTTTATCCGGCGCAAAAAGGACTCCAGATATTGTGCCAGCGATCCCACGTATGCGAAGTACACATCTGTCATCTTGTCTGATCGGACGATGTTGCATTTTGGAGGACTAAAAGCATCGAAGCTATCCAGGTATTGCAGGTATGTGAGCTTCCGCACACCCTTGACACCGGGCAAGTTCAGATACTCCTCGTGCAGCATCGTCAGGTCAAAGAATCGTCCAAACGCCTCTTCACCAGTGAACATGGTGTCAATATCGCCCGCAAATCCTGCTGGTGGCCCTCCATCTTCTGGTCTCTTGTACGCTCGCTCCAAGTTCTCGACAGGCTCATTCGGGTATCGCTTGTGGAAGTCTTTGATCTTGTTCAGCTCATCGTAAAAGGTGGCATATGTGTCGCCGGTGCTAAGCTGTTGAATCTCTTGTGTTCGCGATTGCGGATCGCCGTAGATCTCGATTGCGCGCTGCGACTGGGTCTGAATACGGTTAAGGAAATTGGAAATTTCATGGTCGCGGATCAGCCGACTGCGGATCTGTGAGTTGTGAGCTCTGTCGCGGATATTAGGAGTTCATCATATACTCACGTGCTTGGGCTCATCGAGTGAGCGCTCTGCCACTGCTTGCTCTAGTCGTTCCACATCTTCGTGAATCGCCCGCAAATCCTCGTATATCATCTTGGCCGCCGAGCCTTCCCTCCCGCTTGAGCCGCGCCTGCCCCAGCCTTATGCTTTGTCTCTTACCTGAAATACGCTTTGCGATTATTGAAAAGTGGTGGGGGGCAAAGTGAGGGTTGGTGTTGGTGAGGGTGTTGTTCGTGGCGAGCGCAAGTGTCAAGCTCGAAGTTGAAGCCACAGTTTGAAGCGAAGCGCGTCCAAGCTTTCGCATTTCCTTGCCTCTGCGAACACCACCAACACCTTTGCGCCAACCTCGACCCCCACACAATATACACATCAAACACAGCACCACTTGGGCAAGATGGCGGACGAAGGCATTGACCGTAAGGCGGACGAGCGCATGGAGTTCTCCACGTCCAAAGAGGTGACGGTGGCGCCAACCTTCGAGCAGATGTCGCTCAAGGAGAATCTTCTTCGCGGTATCTATGCATATGGCTACGAATCGCCCTCGGCAGTGCAGTCGCGTGCCATTGTGCAGATTTGTAAAGGTCGAGACACCATCGCGCAGGCTCAGTCTGGTACCGGAAAGACGGCGACATTCAGCATTTCCATTCTCCAGGTCATTGACACCGCTGTTCGCGAGACACAAGGTAAGGCTGGGCCATGCTCACACAGAGCCACGAGGATCTCATGCTAACTCCGATCCAGCTCTTGTATTGTCCCCAACTCGCGAACTCGCCACTCAGATTCAGTCCGTTCTGCTGGCACTTGGCGACTACATGAACGTGCAGTGCCATGCCTGCATTGGTGGCACGAACGTAGGCGAAGACATCCGCAAGCTCGACTATGGGCAGCATGTGGTCTCTGGCACACCCGGCAGAGTCGCGGACATGATTCGACGGCGAAATTTGCGAACACGACATATCAAGATGCTGGTGCTGGATGAGGCCGACGAACTCCTGAACAGAGGCTTTCGAGAGCAGATCTACGACGTCTACCGCTATCTCCCTCCAGCCACTCAAGTAGTGGTCGTCTCCGCTACCCTCCCGTACGATGTGCTCGACATGACCACCAAATTCATGACCGATCCCGTCCGCATTCTCGTGAAGCGTGACGAACTGACACTGGAAGGCCTCAAGCAATACTTCATCGCAGTCGAGAAAGAAGAGTGGAAATTTGATACACTTTGCGATCTCTACGACACTCTGACCATCACACAAGCAGTTATCTTCTGCAACACCCGTCGCAAGGTGGATTGGTTGACCGACAAGATGCGCGATGCCAACTTCACCGTATCCAGCATGCACGGAGAAATGCCGCAAAAGGAGAGAGATGCCATCATGGGCGAATTCAGACAAGGAAATAGCAGAGTGCTGATCAGCACTGATGTCTGGGCACGAGGCATCGACGTGCAACAGGTCAGCTTGGTCATCAACTACGACTTGCCTTCCAACCGTGAGAACTACATCCACCGCATTGGCCGATCTGGTCGCTTTGGTCGAAAGGGCGTGGCCATCAACTTCGTTACTAGCGAGGATGTTAGGATTCTGCGCGACATCGAACTGTACTACTCAACCCAGATCGACGAGATGCCCATGAACGTGGCAGACCTGCTCTCGTGAGAGATTGCGGCTCATCGGACTCAATTCATACGACGACGCGGCAATGACGCGAACACGAAACGTGTCATCTTTGCGATGACACTCGGCGTTTGGGGCTTCTGCTTTCAGGCATACGGCCAATGGGGATGGAAAGGGGTAGCTGTAACGATTAAGTGAGTGTTGATGCTACATCTCATCATTTATGCCAATACTGATGCCTCGCAGCTGAGAATGCCATCCCGAAAAGCTTCTTGTCGTACCAGCCGACCCTCTCGCTCTCGAAATATCTCGCTTTCCAGCGCTCATGGGACAAATATCTCCAATTCTTCCATGTCAGGTACGTCAAGCAGAATCGCAGTCCGACACTGACGCAGGCTCCCCATCGACCGGGTCATACCATCTCTCCTTCTCCTTGGCACCACAAGCCCGTCTACTGCGGACGGCCTCTTGAATGGCCGCACTGCGTGTCAAAACTTTGTTGCTGTGTCTCCATCGGCTGTGCCCTTGCCTTCCAGCGCTGTGGTCGGAGTGCCTCTATCGCCCTGTCTCTCGGCTGCCAGCTTGGCAACCGGATCAACGTGCTCGACGTCTACCACCGCTATTAGCCCGAGTCGCAGCTGGTCCAGCTTTGCCACTCACGCTTGATCTGATCTTCAGCTGCTGCTGGGGCTGCTGCGGCTAGTGATCCGCGCTCTAATATCTGGTCAGCCATGCATTCCAACAGGTCTTGTTAGGCGTCCTTGCTCTTCTCTAGCGCTACCTGCTTCGCTCCATCCTGCAACGTCTCGATCGCAGGGTCTGGGTCTCCCGCGACCTGCTGTAATATCCTTGCCGTTTCTTTTACTCTGTGTTGGCGATACTCTTCAATCAACTGTGGGTTGGGCTCAGTCATGCTCAACAAGTGTATTGTACAATGGCTTCTGCCGTCGATGTCGTCTGGAGTCTGTGGTGCTGCAGATCTTCTTCACACGCACAGGTGACAGGTTTAAGAGAGGCGACTTCAGCAACAAAGCTCTTACGTCAGAATGTGTGCAGTTTGCGTCCGCATAGCAGGGGTGCCAAAAGCGTAGCCGCACATCCACAGTCTCCGCTAAGCAAACAGGAAGCGCGCAAGTAGGTGAGGGTCCTGGTCCACAGTGATGCACGCCAAAGTGATAATAAGGGTCCTCGCAAGAACATCGGCTACGATCTGATCCTGTCATGTACTTCACCTACATGAGCAGCTAGTTCAAAAGCTTTGAAATCTTCGCTGTGGGGCTGATCAGGTTCAAAAATTGTTTGCTACACACATCTCTTGATCCAAGTCCTTAAGCAAGCTTCTACTTGCAATCTCAGAGAATGGGTCTACTCGCGAAGATCACAAGCAAATTTGAAGCCAGAGTGCTGCACCGAGACGTCTCGCACGCCAATCGAAAGGAGCTTCCACCAAAAGACGACAGGCCGCGTATCGACTATCCTGCACCTACACCATCACCGGCAGAAGGCATTCACGCAAAGGATTTTGCGCACCGCCAGGACTTCCGCAGATCTCAGAGCGCTCGCCATTCAGACATTCGCCATGAACTTCCTGTTCCCGACGATAGTGAGGCGCGGGTCGGCGGGCAGCAACGATACTACGCTCGAGAGCAGCAGCAGCAGCGACGAAGAGGGTCTACGAGGCATGAACAGCGACCAGATCAGCTACATGAGTCTGCCGAGCCCCATCGCGGAGAGTCCGCAGAAGCTGAACGACCGGCTCACATTACGCAGACGTACCACGGGCAGGGAACGGACTGGTATACTTCCGTGGATCATCTGGTTGATCCTGGTCAGCATTCTCATCATCTTTGTTTTCATAGCCCTCAGGATGCCCGAGCCAATACAGGAGTAGAAGCTCAAGATGAACCGGCGAGCATTCTGCCCGCGGACGACACGGACTTGACCACTGTTGTTACAATGGGAGCAAGGACGACTCGCGAGCGGCACAATTGGCCTATCAAGATCGGATCTGCAAACATCAAACATATTCATCGCAAAATCAGCGATCGGGAGCGAAAAGAGGGCGAGGTCAGAAGTGAGCGTGACATTCATGAGCAGTCGGATCAAGAAAGGAGTGAATTGGAAAGTCAGAACCAAGTCGTTCAAGCCCCCAACCTTGAACACGACAACGCAACAAGCCAACCCGACGGCATGAAAACGTACAATGATGCAGAATCAGGGCACGCCAATGGGTCACTCGAACGGGAGGTCCAGATTTATCTTGATCAACATTATCACGGAGCGAGAAGAGATTTGGAGAAAATCGCCGTGGCTGGAATTTGAGCGCCATATGTAGGTCAAAATACTCGATTATTTTTCTTGAGATTGGCATTGTTTTCCGCTGCACTCCATCCTGACAAAGCAGCCGAAAGAGATGGAAGGCATGCATGCTGAAGTATGGCTTTGCAAGTGTAGAGGCGCTTTCTCAAGTTTCACCTCACCTGGCCTCGCACTGAGCGCGAGCAGCTCTTGCAATCCTCACTTGCTGGTATCGACGTTGGACGGACGATTCTCGAGATTCTGCCTATATCAGGTGGTTTACGTCACACGAACAAATTCTGCTCCGACTAGTCCTTTCAGAACGTCGCCACAATAATATCGAAAAGTGCTCTTGCCGTATTTCTCGGAGAGAATCGAGGACTCAATTTCTTCGCCCACGATGCGCCTGACCAAACACACGCTGAAAGACGTGCTTAATCATACCTGAAGTCGATACCACGAAAGACGAGCTCGATTCGGACGACTGTGGGAGACTTTTCGTACAAGCGGCCAAAAATGGTATCGAAGCCAGTTTCGACGGCGTTGAAATTCATCGCGGGGAAGGCTACCTCGTCGATCAATTTCTCCCAAGATACGTCAAATCAACGAATCGATTACTATCGAGGCAGTGTAGAGAAGTTGTTTCCGGAGTATGTCGATTGCGAAAAACGGGCAAGGCATTGTGGGCGTTTCTTGGGAATTTGGGGAAGGGAGGAGAGCACGTTATGGTAGTGGGTAGATTCAATTCTGAGAAGCTACGGAGGTCGAGTATAAGGATTATATTTTCGGGGTTCGTTTTTGGGGAGATGCAGGTGGTTTATCAGGAATCTGGATATGGTGGGATTAAACATGGGATGGAACTGAATGGGTACGAGAGGGATGCGTTTACGTTTTATGCTTATGGAAAAGTGAGAGGTTGAAAAGAAAGGATGGAGGATTGGTGTTTGGATGGGATGGGTAGGTATGATGTTCGAGGATATAAAAGTTTGCTTTTGTAGAGGATTTCTTCCTCCTCGATGAGATGAATCGCAGGAAATTGATGGCTTCACTTGAGAATAATGCAAGCCATCTCACTTCAATATTGTAAGTGAGATATCTGAGTTGGAGTATACAGCTAGGTTGATGATTGCGACTTACAAAAACAACAACAAACCATCAATCACCCTCCGTGAGAAACAAGCCATCAAAACACCACCACCCAAAATGTTCCTACTTACCATAGCCCTCACCTCAATACTCTTCACCAAATCCCTATCATCCCCACTCCCCAAAACAAACCACCCTCACCCTTCAATCCATCCCCAAAGACCTAAAATGGTGCACCCGACTAGTCTACACCTCCACAACCCTCGGCGAAACCCTCGAGCCCTGCTCTGGCGACGCAGCCACGCGCTCAGACTTACTCTCTACAATCCAGTCCTTCTTCACCCTCAACAGCCCCCACATCTGGAATTTCCCCGACACGGTAACTCCCATCGAAGGCCTTTACACATACACTCCGACCTCATCGATTGGTCAACGGACGATGGCGATTCGATGGGGAAGTTCCTGAAGAGTAGGATACGGGGATATGTAAGACGACGGATGGGGTGGGGGGTTAGTTGGGAGCAGTGTGTGAGGGGGTTTTATGGGGGTTGTGGATTGGGGGTGATTGCACTGACTGATTGATGAGGACTTTTTAGTGATACTGAGGGAGAGATGGAGAAGCAGGGAGGTGCGGCGAGGGATGCGTGTTTGCTTTGGACTGTGGATTTGAGTCCGGGGGGGGGGGGGGGGGTGGTTGAGTGAGGTGGAGGATATAGTTGATAGAGGAGGAGGAGAGGTAGACGAGATAATAAATAAATACCTCGGTTCTATAGTAGCAATATGGATCGGTGGGCACTCTTAATTTTCTCAGTGTTGCTGAAATAGATTAGGCTTTCACTTCCTAACTTCAATGTGCCGTCGTCATCGGTCCAGGTACCTAGGCAGATCTTTATACTCGCGTCAGGCACGAGACATGTGATTCTTGGCAAGTTGGCGCACATCAGCCTTTCCTGTGCCTTTCCTCCGTAATAACAGCGTACTCCTATGTACTACTTGTTATTAGTCAATCCACCCCAGCATGCCCTAGAAGTCAATCGTTTGTCAGCCGAGGTGCGACCAGGTGCGGTGAAGTCAAAGACGCGGTTGGTAATAACAATAATAAGATACGGCCAGCGGAGTGCGATTTTGGCATAACTACTTCGCAAGGTGTAAGGGTGATACAACATGTTTCATTATTCTGTTTGACTCCCAGTCTCCAACTCCATCGCTCAAAATGCTAGAAATTCCGCCATCTCCTTCCAATCTACCCTTCCAGGCATTGCAAAGATATGGCCTCCATGATTACAGATACTCCTTGATATCCCTAAGACCTAACGAACACAGTATGCAGACACCTCCAAAAGCGATGCTGATGTAGTATGGCCATCGATATGCTTCGACGAACGCGAGCTGGACGTTGTGAATGACTATGTTAAAGGCTTCTTCGCCTTTCATCTTCACCAGCGGGCTTTCGGCGATGAAAGCTCGCAATTTGTCGTATTCGGCATAGGCTCCTAGGAGAATGAGCTTATATAATGTGTCGTAATCGCTTGTGACTCCAGCCAGGACGATCTGTAGACCTGCCGGAAGTGCATATTTGTGCACCAGCTTGTGATAAAATACGTTGAAGTAAGCGGTGAACGCAACGGCTCCGCCTATGTATCGGATCGAAAGCGTGATGGCAGTGATTGTGCCAATGAGTTCTGTGGGTGCCAGAATCTGCGCGATGATAGAGCAGGGAATAATCACCGCACCGACACCAACGTTGCCTAGTGTTAGGAGCGCGTAGACCGTTGGGTTCAGGTTGTAGCGGTCGGCTACGGCCATTGCACCAGTAAAGCCTGTCATAACGCAGCTCCAGAAGATCATGAGAAACGTTGTTCGGCCTTTGGTTAGACCTATCAGCAGGAGGCTGAATGCTGCTCCAAAGATAATGCCACATCCGATGGGAAGAGTTCTGATGCCAATCTGGACTGGATCGTGCCCGTAGACATTGTAGACCTAAAAGCAGAAAGTTTCACTCATCAGTAAGGCTTTTCGGGTTGGGAGTGCTGTGGGCACGTACCTGTGTTGGCCAGAAAAGGAGCATAACGAAAAAGTTGCCACCGCTGATGAAGGTCATAATTAGGATGAGAATCATAGAACGCTTGTCCTTCTTGAAGAGAGCCGCTGGAGCCATAGGAAATGGCGCATATTTCTGTGGTGATCGATCAGTTTCAGAGAACATCGAACAATCCAGATCCGCCTTTTTCGTTGTACTTACGAGCTCCCAGGTGAAGAAGCCGATTATCGTGATTGCTCCGATGATGAAAGGCACCAAGACATGTGTGCTTTCCCAGGAATACTATTAGAAGAAGTCAGAAATGGCTCAACCGGTTTGGCAGTGAATTCGTTGACAGACCTGGTTAGCGCCCCATTGCATTCCCATCATGAAAAGGGTGATGCCTATGGTACTCAGGACACCACCGATATAGTCGACTTCGCGAAGAATCTCCCTGGCCGAACGTGTCTCCTTTCGTACAGGATCGTGGTAGCAGAATAGCACTAGAATCAGTCCTAAGATATTCCATCCTCCAACCAGAAAGCCGACGAAGCGCCAATTCTTTGCCTTCGTGATGAGCTGAGCATACATCGGCGATGGAATGAACGGTGCGATAGTGAAGACGACGATCGCAACGTAAAGACTTCGCTTTCTGATCGGGACCAGCTCAGAGGTTCCGGCAAGCGCAATGAGCTCGTTGAGGCCTGAGAGTATCGAATCAGCATTGAAGACTTTTTTTCTCAACTGTGTCGCTCGAAAGGACTTCTCACCTGCGCCAAATCCCGATATGACCATACCACCGATCGCTACATTCATTTTGTGCGAGGTGGAAACAACGCAAGGACCAACAATGAGGAATATTTGCCCAACAACAGCCACGGCTCGACGACCGAACAGATCCGAGAGAGCTCCAACGAATGGGCATAGAGCCGAGTTGGGAATGAGGTACCCAATGACCTGTGTTCACTTCAGCTGTTGCTCAGCTAAGTGAAGATGGAAATGACATACCATCCAAAGCCACTTGCCCTCTGCGCCGCCGATCTCAGAGTAGATCTCCGCGAGGACACTGCCGTATAGATAGAGTCCGATCTGCGAGCCTACCCAGAGAAAAGACATTGCTGTCAAGGACTGAAACAGCTTCCAACACATCTAGCAGAGTCAGCATGCTAAGCCTTGATGAGTTGCGATCGCGTACCTTGTGATAGTCATTGGGATTCTCGTGTTCGTCCAAGAAGTCATGGTGTTGCACGTCTCCGTCGTCATGCTTCTCTGCCAGGTCGCTGCCTTTCTCATTCGACGAGCTGGATTCGACCGCCATTATTGTTGCGCTGTATAGTGGGACGATCTGAAGTGAAGCTGTCGCACTCAGCGCTCAGACGAACACGAGAAGTCTGTTATCTTTTGTGCGCAACATTACTGGGTGTATGTAATCGCTTCGAAAATGCCAATGGCAAAGACCTCGGCGCCTCGCGGACTGACCAGGACTACCCCCAGAATGTAGCTATGGGTTCTCCATCGTTTAAACATCGTTTGAGCTTGTGAGCAGAAGTCAAAAAGGTTGTTCTCGTCCTGTGACCATTCAGATCGAATGAACAATTATCCTTTGCATCGTATGCTTGTCGAACAGGCCCCGGGGGTTCAAATTGGGAAGATCCGTGCATGCCGCATTTACCACCATGCCTCCGCTTGACTTTGAAGCGGCATCCGAGATCACAACAGGTACGATCAGTAGTGAGTACATTTCGGTTGTGGACGAGGAATGCATTGTTCAGAGCAGAAGGCGGATTCGAGCGCGCACTACTGTTGTGATGGCAGTTTGAGCCCTTCTCTGGCGACGTTCTTGTATCCATGGTTATCAAAATCATAGGCCCGCCCTTTCGTTCCTGCGCCACATGTCAGCGATCATTGCTTGAGAACTCGGCCCAAGCTGTGTTTCACGTGTGCCAGTCTACGCAAACTGCAAAACGTCCGAATCGGGGCCCAGGTGCAGGCTGCTTCATGAAGATACATGCAACATCATGTCGAACCACGTCGACAGCCGATGTGGTCAAAAAGCTGCAGGTCACGTCGACTTGTTCCGATGGGTTGTGCAAGACGACCAGGCCGCTCCGTCCGTATATTGCGTCAACAATTGGCGGAGGACCATGCGAAACTTCCATCCACGTGTGTCGAACGAGACGTGACCATTGCTGTGCGTGCATTGATGCCTCCCAGAATTCCACAAGATCGGCTGGTGTCAACTGAAGATACTGTATAATAATTAATGATTGCTAGGCCCAATTCCAGCCGCGCTGTCCGGAGAAGGGCTCCCGGTTGGGCCAAAGTGTCACAGTAGAACTAGTGCAGAGTGATCCTACACAACCAGGGGCATAGCTGTTGAATACTGAATATTCAAGATTCACTGCTCGTATTCAGATTCACTAATGAATGTTAGTGAATATTTATATTCAATTCATATTTAAATACAATCTCAGCGACAGTGAGGGCAGTAGTAACGCTTAGGGTTAAGAAGGAGGGTGTTCTATAGCTATTTATATAACTCGTCGTTGTCTTCCGCTTCTATACTCAGTTGTGGCATGTCCACTAGCATATCCGCTACGCTAGTACGTTGCTATTGCTTAGAACACTCGCTTATACGGATGCTATTGCTATTAAGAGAGGCTCGGTCCTATAAAACCGTACGTCTACTGCTACTAAAGGTGCGCTCGGACTCCGCGGATATAGCGAAGGCTAACAATAAGTTAATAGCCAGTTGCGAGAGTGTCGGATAGGCTGTCCGTTGCATAGAAAGGCACTACTATTCAAGTGGACTTATATGGATTAGCTAGCCTGTCCGCTTGTCGGTGCTAACCTATAGCAACTTAATAGGCGTAGCGGCAATAAAGGACTCGAAGTGGTTAATATTAGTCGTAAGGACGTCGTTCTCGAGCTGTTGTTGCTACGCTATTATGTCCGTCAAATAACCTGTAGCTTCTATAGTGGCAGCGGCAGCGGCAGCGGTAGCGGCAGTAGAAGTAGACTCCTTAGAAGCAGGCTTATTACGTGCTTAATATTTATTCTATAGGGCTCTCGCTCTTGCTAGACCGTTAATAAGCTACTAGTCCTTCTTCTTGCTACTAGACCAACGCTTACGAAGCTATGCCTTACGGCGAGTTAGATATAACAGTATTACAGTGACGTAGATGCCGCTATCGTCGATTAGACGATAGTATTTGTTAAATAGGTGCTAAGAGACGTAAATGGCCTTTATTATAGCCTCTCGCTTAGCATACTGCTTCTTAGTACGCTCGAAGTGAGTAAGCAACTATTCTATAGTCTCTTAGAAGCAGTCGAAGGTGACGTTATAGCCCTATAGACGTTGAGTCGCTTCCTTGAATAGTATAAGGAATAGGCGTATCTCTTTAAGAACAAGCTAGTCTGCCTCGGTAAGCCGGTATTCACTGATCTATAGCATACTAATAAACAAGGCGTTGAGAATAGGCCTTGTTTAAAGGGCCTCCTCGATTATTAGCAACTAGCTATTCTAGCGAGTCTTACCTAGCGGCTTCGGATAGGTAGAGTCTCACCGCGCGATTAATTCTTTGAAGGCGTTATAGAGGTCGTTCTCTCGCTATAGGACCTTAGTTAGCTAGTAGAGACGCTACAGTAGAGATTGCTTAGCAAAGCACTCCGCATTAAGATCTAACTACCTAGATATAGAGACCTTGTCGCTGTCGCTCTCGGCTTGGTTATTAAATAGTACTTGCCGTGCTTAGAGCGCTCTTTAATCGGCCAATTCTGCTGCTTCCGTAGACTTAGCAAATATGAAGGCTTGTATAACAAGGTTAATAATATAGCCGAAGCAGCGTAGCCGACGGCTCTGCTTAGTCTAGTATATGTGGCCCTTCTTGTGTATATAGAGCTCAATCGACTCGTAGAGGGTATTGTTGTTAGCGGCATTGTCAGCGGTTATCTAGCTAAGCTTATAAGCTATTAAGAAGGTCTCAAAGTACGAGATTAATAGCTAAGCAAGAAAGTCGCTAGTATAAGAGCCTCGTTGTAGCGGCGGTAGGTTAATAAGGACTTGAGTAAGCTTGCCGTGCTTATTAATATACTAACAGTTGATCGCTTGGAAGTGCTTATAGCCGTGTTGCGCCTTTTATATATTAGTGCTAATATAGAGGCAACTAATAGCCTTAAGAAGCGCTATTTTGACCCTCTCTCGCTAGTTCTCGAAGTTATACTATACTCGTACTATTATTGAAGTGTGTAACTTTAAAAGAGCCTTGTCTGTATATAGATTGACTGCCAATATTATCTCTTTGAAGGCCTTAGAAACAAGGGAAGAATAAGCGACACTATATGCTATAGCATAGCGAGCTATAGCCTACCTAAATTTGTCTATATTGGCTTCCGCTGTATTCCTTAGAATAGTGGCCGTACGCCTTACCTCGTTGCCCTCGCTTACTGCCTGCATTTTGTCGATATCAATGCGGCCTTATAGCGGATCTTTATCTAGATAGACAATAATACTGTGTGCCTTAAGAAGGTAGTCTGCTACGTTGCTAGACACTAATTTCTATGCCTTAGGACTGTCTACTAGACAGTGCTTATAGTAGAAGTATTTGTAACCGTATCTATTGCGAGGAGGCTCGCTATCCTGCGGATCTCGAGTATAAGACTACAATACTAGATCTGTCTTATTCTTTATAAAGTGTAGCTTCTTCTACTAAGCGAGTATCGGTAGTGTAGGCCTTAGTACGGGTATTAGTATCGAGAAGAAGGAAGAAGAGGATGTAGATTGCTAGGTTTAGGGCTCGTCTAGAGTCGGATTTAGTACTAGTTCGTTAATGCTTTCTGTATACTTCCGTTTCCGTAGTTTCTAGCTTTCCCGTTCGGTTTCTTAGGTATTTAGGAAATTTTCGAGCGCTCGTTAGGTCGGTATACGATTTTCTCGTGTCTTTATTATAGGAAAGAAGGTAGTTATATTCTAATTAGAAGAGATGGATTGCAAATTTAACTTTCGAGGCTAAGTGCGGCCCGCTTCGGTTAGCCTATCCGAAAGCTAAGAATGCGGGTTAGCGAGTCCAACTAGGGCTTAGCGTGACCCTTATAACGCAAACAGCAACAGCTGGAATACCAATCTTCGACTAACTATTATATACCTATTCAATAACAACAATAACCTTACTACCGCCGCTAGTAGCCTCGCTATCGATCAATCGATATAGCACCCTATCGATCCGACGCCTAAAGTACATCTACCGCTACGAGCACTACCGATTCAGTCCAGAATAGCACTCGAATAAGTAGAGGCATGGTTTCTTACTAAATTCGAAGTAACGACGAGAACCGAGTAGAAGAACAGGCCTTCCCTTACGGTCTATACCTTTATATACCTTCCGAAGGCTATTAGCGATACGCTCTTAATAGTAACTAGCCCTATTAACGATTTCCGCCGCGCAGACAAGGCTCTTTGTCGTCTTCCTTATAACCCTTCGAAACGGTAACTATAGACTACCTCTCTCCGCCTCCCTAATACACTACTCGAAGTCCGCCTATTCTACGTACTCGATAAACGAAATATCGTCCGAATTGGCCTAGTAATCGTTTACCTAATTAGTATTAATAAGAGGTAGATAGACCGAGCGGATATTCTTTAGCTGTTATTAAAGCCTCTAGTCCTATAGAGCGAGGAAGGCTTGTGTCTCGGATAGAAAGCGGTAGAATGAAGAAGGTAGTAATAACACAATAACCTCGTATTAAGAGGCCGTTAGCGACTCGGCAACCTGCTAGAATTAGCGACCTTTATATGCCTTAGTTGGTTCGTTCTATCTACCTACCTCGAAGCGGTCTATCCTCCGAGCCTATAGAAAGAGCTTGGTTTTTAGTAAGAAACAAGCGATAAACAACCCAATTTCGCACGATTGAAGAGATCTACGTACGCCGCAGTACAACCGTCGAATTGCCGACTGAATCCACTGAATATTCGAATATTTAGTGACCTCGTATTCAGATTCATATTCAATATTGAATATGAATCTGAATTGAATCCGATTCAATATTCAACAGCTATGACCAGGGGGTGGAAGGCAGCGGGATTCGGGAAGCATCAAAAGTCGGCCGTGGGTGAAGTGTACCTACACTGTAGAACAACGTGTGCATCACGACCTCAAAGCCTCCTTGCACACGTGAGTGACTGTACAGTCTCCGTCCATCGGATCGGAAGGGCCAAGTACGTACATACTACGAAGCATTGCCGTGCCAAGTGTTGCCGATACCAGTGCATTGAGCATGCCTTCTCCTCGACCTACCCCGACAGCAGCCGATGGTTGTTCTTCACGCCATACGGCTGCTGACTCGGAAGTGCTGACCGCAGCAGCAGCAGCATCCTTGCCTCAAGCATCGACGTGCGTACGTACGGTGCTGGCACTCCCTAGCTTATTTGCGTTCGTTAGATGTCGAGAAGACGAAGTTCTCCTCTCTGGTGGTCAATTGCGAGGACGAGGTGTAGCATAGGTATGCTATGCTGACCATCGAAACGGGTGATCGGGACCGAAGTAGCATAGTTACGGAGTATGCTGCTGGCGATCGAAAGGGATAGCCGGGAGCGATTGATCATGGATATGGACTTGGCATCATCCCCAACTATTGTCGTAGGAGTGTAAGGCGTCGCAGATGAGGATGAGGTTGATGGTGGCTTGGTGGCGCCTCGGCAAAAAGCGATCCCTGAGGGCTTATGAATAAATTGACATGACATGGTGGAAAGTTGAAACTTGAAATCTCGCCCGATGTCCGGTGACAGTCGCCTCACCCTGGGCGAGGTCGGGGGGAGTACGTCGGCGATGGCATGCCAAATTGCCCATGCTACGATGCCGGTACCTGGTAACAATACCAACCTAGGTCGACATCATTGGCCTCATTGGGGA